ATAGATAGATAGATAGATAGATAGATAGATAGATAGATATGTATATTGGGCGGGTTTTTCTGTGATGGGGCGGTTTTTAACGGACTTTTGGGCTGGAAAACCTCGACTCTATCTGGCAACACTGTTGTCTTCATGTGTCCCAGTGATGGACTAGAGACCTGTCCAAGGTGTCCCCTACTTATCACACAGTGACCACTAGATAAACACCAGTGACCCCTGTGACCAAGAAATGAAGAAGCAGGTAAAGATAACGAATGGATGGATAGACACTGATTGACAACCTTAAATTAATTCAACATAGTAAATCAGCATTTAAATTGCCTCTTGTTTAAAATTTAGAAACCAAGAGATGTTTCAGACTTTTTATTTAGTTGATTTAGTCAAAAACACGAGTGTCTTCCCCTTTAGCCTCAGTCATTTTCATTCTAAATTAAAGTCAATCCCTGCATGTAGAATTTAAAGAGTAACAACCAACTGATGTTAAGATACTTGCTGCAAACCAAACCTTCATCTGAAACCTCTGACGGCATCTTTGGTTTCCAAGAACCACATCGTGAATTATCCTTCATGATTTTACTCGCGCATGTCAAATCTGCGTCATTTATCCTCGTTTGCTACCAGAGGGCCGTAACTCGGAGCTAAACCCATCTCACTGTGGATTATGGTGCAGATTAGATGAAGGATTCAGAGAAAACAGCCGTCGTTAGGATGGAGAGGAGATGTCCAGATCATTAAAGGTGGAGACTGAATATAGAGAAGATAAAAAAGGTTTTTTGCCACTTGTTCAAAGGGTTCAGGTGGTTTTTGTCTATTTTAGGAAAACCTTCCACGTAGTGTGGCTGTTTTTAGGATTTAGCTTTCGGAATGCTGAAAACACAGATTCACCTGATGAAAAGTTTAAACTCAAAAATATAAAAGTGTGACAACAACCTGCAGTGTTGTGCTACAGTTGGGACGCTGGCTGTAAGAAGAAACCTCGGTTTGCCTTAATGAACAGAATGAGGACATCTTAATGGACCCATTCCCTCAGGGGGGCAAGAAGCTCATCCTTTAAAGACCCGCACTCCACCAGATCGATTCTAACCAGCTTCATGTGGCAGATCCTCTGCTGCTCGGACAGGCTGGAAGGAAAAGGTTTTCTTCATGCGTCGCCGGCCGGCCGAGTTTCTGCGGCTGCTTTTTACAAATGTTGTAAGAAAGGAAAAGAAAAGTGACGTTGGTTTTATCTTGATTTTACCATCAACACAGTTTTTCACAGTTCTTTTCCTCAGTCCTGCCACGTCCACGTAGGCCTGTCACGATAACACATTTTGCTGGGCGATTAATTGTCTCAGAAATTATTGCGATAAACGATAATATTGTTTGAAATTTGATTAGTAATTATTGTCAAATTTAAGAATAATTGTTGGTTAATTTCTGTGTGGTGCATTTTTTGACCACTGGATGGCAGTATAAGACTGTTTAAACCAAAGGATGGATAGTGAGTGAGCAGCAGCGTGTCTCTAAGAAAAATAGGAGGGCGGCCCCTTGTGATGGGCTGTCTCTTGTAGTTGTTTGTCGGTTTTTAAAATGGCGGCTGCTCAATATGGTTTGAGCTCTTTAGCATTTGTCACACAAAGCTTTTAATAAAAATCAGTAAACAAGTTCGCAGCTTCTTTTTGCAGAGAAAAACAACTTTTCACACGAAGGCACAGGTTTCAACCGTGACTGTTGTAGCTTCGACAAGACGGAGGTTTTTCCCGAGGTCGGCCTGTTAGCTTAAAAACGTGATTTTGGACGGTTGAAGCGGAGAAAAGAGAAAGGGAGGGGTCAGTGAAGAGCACCGGAGTTGAGCCTTTTATCATCTTCAGTAGAAAGAGAGACACGAAGAAACGATGAAGCCGATGAATGAAAATGAGGTCGATCGTGTTCATTCATCATGCGATTAATTGATTTACTGTTTATCGCGACAGGCCTACGCCCACTCACACCTGTTCTGTTTCTCATCTCATCGTGCCTCGTGGAGATGAAGCCCCTCAGTTTCAGTAAGTTCTTCCTGTTACCATCTACTTTTGTTTGGTTTAAATAAAAGTTTTGGTTCTCTTTCTAAAGCTGCTTGTGCTGGTCTGCCCATCTTAATGTTTTATGGTCATTAACATGCATGTGAGCAAAGTGACTTGAATACAAAACTGTTCACAATGGTGGCACCTGGATAAAGCAAACACCTGAGTTGGTAAAAAATAAAGATTTTTGTACTATAAGCAGCCATTATGAAAGGCTTTGGATCAGACTGTGAAAAGGAGACGAGAGCAGACTCCAGAACGGAGAGCCCGTCAGGTCCCTGCAGACTCAGGACGTGTGTCAGGAGCTCCTTCCGAGACGTGGAGCGGTTTTAAACCTGAGAACTGCAGCAGATCAGAGTTCACACATCCAGTCAGTCAGGCGTCTTTCGCTTTGGACCTGAATCGGAGCTGCTCGTTTCTGGAGTCTGATCAATAAAGTCTTCAAAACAAGAATATGTCCTCCCGTTGTTTTAGAGCTGCGCCATCACAAAACTTCTCCCCATTATCTGTCAAACCAAACATCACCCCCATCCCCCAAACACCTCTCCTTTAATGAACCATTTCCGTGTATTTACTTAATAAAAACAAGCTTCACATAAAAATAAAAATAAATCAGAAAATGATCAGCGAACCGTCACGTTTTCAGCGCAGACAGCTCGTCCGAAGAGCTGCCGTGACATCCATGCAATTCATGCTTCAGAGCCAACAGGCCACAGATGGGTGATGAGCCAGAATCAAACCAGCTCCTCGCATGCCTGTTGCTACGGCAACCTCCACCACGGGGCTTTCTGTCCCTCGCAGCTAATCAAGACCGCGCAGGGTGGACGGGGGTGAAACAGAGCACCCGTTTGTCAAACTGGCACCTGTGTGGACCACGAAGACCGAGGTCCTCCTCTTGGTTCGAACAGTAAAATGTAACTTATCGTCCGTTTCTACAGGCTGCACAGTCCGTTCTACATTTACTCTCAGTCCAGGGAAGAGCGTTACATTTTCATGTTTAGAACTTTTAAAACCAGGAAATAA